TTTTTTTATGACTATTTGATCTGCTGGTTAACGACATAAATATCACAAAGTGCCTTGCAAAGGCTATTCATTTGCCAATTTATCAGTTGTGCATACAATTATTAGACTGTTGTGTAGTGTATCACAATATTGTTATTATGGAAACAAATAATGCTACCTGATGGCATTCAGAATTAAGTTTGCTTTTACATTTAAGACAACTTGGGTTCTGCCTACGGAAAATATTATTAAGATCTGGGATAATCAGCTTACTATAAAAATTAACAAAAGTTTGAAGTAATTAATATACTCAGGCTGGTGGTTATTTTAGGTCTTGCGTTTTGGAGATTTTAGTTTGTTATTGGTTGAGCTTGTTGCTTCAGTTCTGTGGCAAGTTAGCACACCATAAGGAAGCACTTAGCAGAATCAGCCCACAACTTCAGGGACAAGGTACTTAAACAGAAGGGATGGCCTCTCTTCCATGCCCTCCACGACCTAAAAACCAACCACTAAGCTCCACATTTTAATGGTCTTACCACTTCTACATATCACTTCTATGAGGACCAAAAATTAATTTTCAGAAATTATGGGATACTTGGATTCCAAGTACAAAGGTACAGAATGGTATATTGCATCGACTAATTGGCTTGCTGGGCTATCCTTGTTAAATGAGCTAAGGGTTCTTGATTCTGATTTGACATTGAGCCTCTTAAAAGATAGAACTTCTTTTAATTTTATTTTTTTCATTATTTATTCTCAAATACAGTTATTTCAATTTAATTATTTAATTCAAATATTAAGTATACATTAGTATCCACAACCTTTTATAATAAGACAGGAATTATAAAATTACTTTACTCAGTTTGAATAATGCCACGGTAAATATCATCTAACAATTGCACTTTTATATGTTTACAAGTTTAAGGTTTTATAATTATAATTATATAATTGATTGTATTAACTGAATAGATAAGCAAATAGTCTGTTAATATTTATTTTTTTATTTAATATATTTTTAATTATATTCACATGGTTCGGGGTTACAATCTCTTTAGGAAAGATAGCTGGAACCATTATATTCATACCTCAATTTTTAAATTCAGTGACCTGGCAGAGTTTGATGGAGAATGCTTTTAATCAACCCCAGAACTCCAGAAGCAGTCGCCAGTAGATCTCTGTGATTTGGGGGCCAGCCTGGTTTACATAGAAAGTTTTGAGACAGTCAAGACTACAGAGAGAGACCCCATCTTAAACAAGAAAACAAACTAAGACGACTGTGGAATTCATGTAAAAACAGAAAAAGGCAAAAAGAAAAAGAAAGATAGAGGGAAAAATGAAAAGAAAATCCCTGATTTAAGTTACAATCATCAATTTCATTTTACCTTACTGTATTTTTCTTATTTTATTGAAGTTTTCAGCTTTCATTATAGATATGATGAGACTTTTTTTAAGCTAAAATATAACAAGTCCTAATACTATTGAAATACTATTGAAACAATTACTCTAAAAGAGGCCTAAAAGTCATGACTAGATATTTTACTTATTAAACATTGCTTAACAGAAAACCATAAAGTTGAGTACTGCAGCAGCAATTTACGATAGTTCTTCTGCTGAAGACATGACTCCAGCTTGGGTGGATGAAGCACTTGCTATTTAAGCAAAGGGATACAGGTTCAAATCCTGCTGCAATATGACTCGGCCTTGAAGCACTGGATTTTAGACCTTAGCCTACACATAAAAGGCTTACAAACAACTGCTGCGCTTAAGGCTGCTGTAATGTAGTGGAAGCAGGATCAAAAGGAGCCTGAGAGTCAAAGCATTAGAGTTTGCTATGTGTTTGTGTCTCCTGTAATGTCAGGAAGTATATGCCCAAAAGGGAACACTCATACAACTGACTAAGTATTACAATAGCAGAATGAAGAAAACACCAGCAGGCATGGCCAAGTGGACAGGAGACACAATCATCAAGAAAAGGAGAGGATCATGAAGTCATCCGACATTAACATCTTACTTCCATAAGCACACACTTGCACTTGCATTTGCACACATGTAGGCATGCACCTGTGTGAACATGAATGAATACAGGTAGAGACAGTGCTATGCGTTCCTTCTAATCTAATGGATATAGAATCCTAAAGAGTCTGTTTTCACAAACCAAGCTCCACTTTGGCATAGGTGGTTTGTGTTGTCGTTGCTTTATCTCACCTCTCTTATTATTGATTTAGTTAAGAAAACATAAATCCTCTTGAGTGTTTCAAGCAGTGTGGACATCAGTGCACAGATCTGTTGGGTGGAGTGAAGGAAAAATTATATACCTCCGAGGAGGAAGTATAGGGAAAACTGGGGGTCTGCTGTTTAACTGGCTGAGTCTGCTATGTCCAGTGAGCAGAACTGCAGTCCAGTTCGTATGCCATTGTGCTCTTACACGTTGAAACTGGGTTTCTCTGCTTAATTGTCTGACATTAGGGAGGAAGTTGTTCAAATTTCACATTAGTGCTTTTCGTGGCTGAATTTAAACCAGAAATCTGAGGGTGAAGAGCTCTGCAAAATGCCATTTCTTAGATACTGGTTTTTAAATACTGGAAAGTATAGAAAATGCAGGAATGATGGTTAATAAAGCTCCTAAAATTGAGAATATGTGCTTTCTTGTTAATATTAATATTTCATATACATCTGTCTGTATAACACTGTCTCCATAGAGTCAGGACCCAATTCCCTAAAGTTGTACAATATTATTTATATCCCCACAGTGCCATACCTTTCTCTCCTGACATTATAGTTGCCTCCACTGTTTAATCTCTTCTCTCAGTAGTCTATAATTGTACAGAAAATCTTTCATTATAACTATTATATGATATAACATTAAGGTGAAATACATAAATTAACTCCTCCTGATTCATCAGAAACAGTTCATATGAACTCCTTCAGAGGTACTCAGCTGGAAGGAAATGATTTTCCTTCTTTGTCAAAACACAATTGAGATGCTCTATTGACTAGACTTATTGAGCAAAATAGGTCAACTTGACAACAGTTTCTCAACTAATGATTTTTGACATTGTGTTTATTATTGATAAAATCTTTAAGTTAATTGTAAACTAGCAATAAGTCAAATGAACATTGTGGAAACAAATTGCTCACCCTGCAGACTTTGGAGTTTATTACAGTTCTTTTGAGATCTATTCACTAGATGAAATAAGAAAAAAAAATTGAGAATTAATTGAAAAAATATATGATGGTATTTGCCTCATAAATCTTCAATTATTATTGAAATAATTGTCATTACTGAATATCAAGTGATCATTTTCAACCATGTGCCAGAGACAGGAACATTTTCACATCAATAGTTCATTAGGTTTATAACAACCTAAGTACCATTTTCATTTGAATTTTCTAGGCAAAGAAAGTAAAGTTTGGAGACTCCAAGTTGCTTGATCAGAGGTTCACAAGAAGAGAGTCATTATACAGTCACTGTCCATCTTGGAATTCTCATATTTTATCATTATTCTATATTTCAGACACACTTCTGTATCCAACAGCAGGAGATAGTGTATGTGATGGCTATTCTTGGTTGTCAACTTGATTACATCTGGAATTAACTAAAATTTGGTGGGTTTGGTAGAGTAAGGGACCTTTCCTAATTATATTAATTGAAATGGGAAAACTCACTTCTACTCTGTATCTTTTGAGGTGGGAAAATCCACCTCTTATCTGGGCCATAAGAATGTAAAGGACATGGAGAAGGAAGCCCTGTCTATTTTCCTGCCCCCCCCCCATCATTGGCAGTCTATTATTTCACTGCCATTAGAGCCTACATTTTTCAGGATTTGGAAGCATGCTTTTAACCAGCTGAGACACTTAGTCTCATAGGCTGAAAGAAAACTGGATTTTTGGGCCTTCTTTTGATCAATAGTCATTGTTGGACTAGCTGGACTAAAATCCGCAGTGCACTGTAATAAGGTGTGTGTGTGTGTGTGTGTGTGTGTGTGTGTGTGTGTGTGTGTATGTATGTTATCAGTTCTATATAACCCTGACTAATACAGCTACTCTTAGCTAAAGCCTCTGTGGAATAAAAAAAAAAAAATCAAACTCTTCACATATACAATAGTATATGGTAAATGCCAGCATTCCGAAAGGGGTAATTGGATGTAGAAAGGAGAAAAGACTGAAAATCAGGGCATAAAGTTCTTGTGGCTATTTTCTAGAATGCCAGTCTCAAGGTGAACCCCAAATTGCTTGGGTAGCTAGGACTCAAAACTTCACTGGGTAGCATCCACAAGACCTCTATTCTGAGCTAGCTCTGATAGCTCTTTGTACCCTTTCTCAGTAGGTATTCTGTATCTCTTGTGTCTCCAAATCCCCAATGTTTGCACTGTCTTTAGTGCTAACTCCAAATTACAGTTATCATACATCACATATCCTTTTGCCTTGTTACAGGGCTTTCCATAATTCACTTTGGAAAATGCATGGTGGCATCCTTAAAACTGCATCTCACGCACTCTGTGTTGCAAGAAAATCAGCACTACATAGAGGACAGCAAAATATGCTGCCTTCCTGTGCAGTAGTGGAGCCTTCAAGCTGTTGGAACAGCATTTCTGTACACTTGGATGTGTATAGAAACTTGCCATTCATGCTGTAATGTCTTGAAAAGACTTTTCAAATGAGTTTGCACAGTAGAAGTCTAAAAAAGTCTTTGGTGGGTGACCTGTTGACATTGTCCTGAAGTCTCTCTGAACTCCTTAATAGCGATGACAGTATTGAGCACAACTTTACATGTAATCCATTTCTAGCCAAAATCAAAGTTTTTCTACTGTTCAGGAGGAGGAAAATTCTCAATATAACTGTGTTCAAGAATATTTATGTATATGAAAGCTACAGTTGTCATGCTGGGCTACACTGCATTTCCCAACCTCAAATAAATAACCAAGAGTATCACCTTTACAGTCGTAGTATAAACAAACTTTACAGGGGTATAGTATTGTGAAATAAACTGCATAGTTTCTTATTCAGCCTTCTTTCATTTGTAAGGGAGATCATGAACACAGTTCCTAATTACCAAAAATTTATGTGGTTGAATTTCCCACATGTGTGGAAATCACAGGGTCAGCACATCTGGAATGCATTGGATAAACTTCATCCTGGGAAAATCCCCTCCATTATCATAGTACCTCCCCTACCAGGTAAGTATTTCCCATCCATTATTAATATTCATAATTTTCACTGGAAATTTCATGAGCACAATCATAATGTCCACATTTTGTTGGCATAATGGTCTTCTACGATTCCACCAAACTCTCCCAGAAAGCTCTGCTTAGCATTCTAAAGATATTCAGATCTGTATCTCCATGCTACTCTAAGTACTACTTGCAAAGCTCTCCCAAAGGCTTCTGAATTTCATTGTCAGGAAGAGTCAGAGCAATGACTCCACTTCCTACTGACTATTTCGTGGATTTTTGTTTGTTTTTCCTTTTTTATTGGTGTTGTGACAAGTTACCTGCTATAAGTAACTTCCTGGAGGAAAGATTCATTTGACTCAGAGTTGTGTTCCGTTATTGGACTGGTCCCTTGCCTTAAGCCTGTGGAAAGGCATAAAACAGCAGAACGGAGAGTGGGTGCAACAGGAGGGCACACACACAGCAATGGCTGTAAAGTTCGGAGTGAGAATGGAAGAGGCAATGTCAAAATACTCTCTTCAAAGCATACAGTCAGATTGTCTCCTAGTCATGACTCCACCCCAAATTAAGAACTAATCAATAAATTAATTCCAAGTATGTCCAAGACCTGATGATCCAAACAGCTTTCAATGTTTAGATCCAGCAGCCAGGGCCACACCTTCACCAAGAGTCTTTGGGAGAAACTTTATAATCCAAGGATCGTGTTGTAGGATAGTTGTACACTGTGAAGATGTGTCACTGTGATAGGTTTAACAAATAATTGAATGGCCATTAACTAGGCAGGAAGAGGTTTGGCAGAACCTCTAGTGACAGAGAGGACTCTGGGAAAAGAAAGTCAGAGTCGCCAGAGGAGAAAGATGGGAGATAGGTATCAGCATGTGGCAGAATTTAGATAATTGTGAAAGAGTTCTTTTAAGTTATAAGCACTATTTGAGACAAGTCTAAACCAAAGGCTGAGCTTTAATAATTAATAAGTTTCAGTGTCATTATTTGGGAGCTGGTGATACAGAGAAAGACTTGTTACAGAGTCAAAAAGAAGAGTAAATATGCTAATCCAAAAAGCCAGTTTTAACAATTCAAAATACAAACTACATACATATATTTTAATAATACATTTAATAATATTTAGGAATGATTGATTTCCTTAATGAAAATATTGATTCACTATGAACCACAAGTTTTGGGATTGAATTGTTTTAGCAGGGAACTGGAACATTGCATAGTTTTGGAGTCTCTCCTTGTCAATTTAGTAGAATTTTCTCTGATGATACAAATGTTTATGCGTGCTGTGACATTTTCTGTCTTTGAGCTGCATTTGAACCATAGAACAACACAGACAAGAATGTTTATTTTTCATGCGAATTAACTGGTATATGACAGAGGCTGAATTTTGCTGACAGATATTGATTTTCAGCTATAGTTCTATAAATTGCCAAGAGGTATCTACACTCTCCCAAATAAGCTACCAACCCATTTCTCAGATGTAAATGTAACAATACTTTAGAACACAGTGAGGTACATTGGGCTACCCCAAATATTGGAGATTTTTTTTATAAACACAAATACTTAAAATTTCCATGGCCTTAAAAATAAAAGAAAAAGGAATGTGTATAGTTGTTAATATTGACTACATAGCTACAAAAAGTTTCAACATTGTAAAGGCCATAGAATAATGTTTCAAGCTCCAGGGAAGCATCCTATCCTGCTGACTGAAGCTAGAGGTCAGAGGCACATGGACACCATGCCAAGCATGTGCATAGCAGGGACTATGAGCTACTGTAGGTATGGGTTTTGTTTGAACCTGACATGGATGAATACATTGAATAGAGATAAAGTAAAACTACCCTATGCAACTATTACTGTTACCACTGAATGCACACACAACAACAAAAAATAAACTGCATAGAGTATTACAAGATAAAAGAGCAATGGCAAAAGATGTTCATTAAAGCAATACATAAAAAAAACCACATAGGTTATTAAGTTGGTAAAAATGATAAAGTCAAAATATTATGACTAAGATAATTTTAGAAGTTGTTTTAAACGAGCTGCTCTCTCGGAGAACCCACCAGAAAAGCACCAGAGGAGCCACTCTCACTGGCCCAGCAGCCACGCTGATAGGGAAGAGAAAGTTCCACTCATGGGCTTCATGAAAGATCCCCAAAAGCAGCCTGCCGAGTTGCAGGGAGGAAATGACAGGCTCAATGAGTCCAGGTAGTTCTTTCCTTCTGCCCAGAAAGTGTCCTCTCTCCCCACACCTGCAGAAGCAGGTGCAGACAGGTTATAATGGCAACTTGATTAGTTTCCTGCCAGATCAAAGTACTGTGTGGATTGGAGAAACAGAATAATGTCTGGAAAAAATAGTTCTAACTGAAGGCGTCCTTTGGGGACAGTAATAACAGATGCGCTGAAAATTCATGCGCATTTCACGCTAAATGTTATCTTGTTCATGTTCATCTGTTGCATAAGGACTTGTGCAGGGCCAGCCACCGTGTGACGGCTCTTGCTTACTGAAAGCAACTGGCCAACACTAGGAATCTCTGGGAAAAAATTACAGGGATCTGTGTTGCTGGACTTGCATTCAGCTCATGAGTCCACATGTGAGCACAGGCACACTATAAAACTGATATATTTAAATATAGAGTACAGGGCACGTATCACATATACTCTAACATAATTACAGAATGAATAAATTGGTTCTTGGTGTGCCACTGTCTCTATTCTTTTATCAGCTCATCAAGTTGGTGGACAATAAATTTCATAGATCCTGAGAAGAGAAATCTCTAGCAATTGCTTGGAACATGGACCAGAATGTTCTTACAGCTTCCATAAATGTGTGCAAAAAATAGATTGCACTTTGTATCCAGAGCTGCATACAAACAAGTCCTAGTGGAAAGAGTCCTGAGGTGTACTTTGTCTACTGTCTCTTCTCCACCAGTACACATAAAGCCAGAACATGAAATGTATACAATTAACAGTGTTATCAAACGAAGGTGACTGTGTACAATTCAGGACCTACTGCATATGTACTTAGTGTATGGCATCTGAGGTACAGGAGGTCTGAAACATGGATTTCCAACCACACTCATAAATTAGAAAACAATGGATTCAAAGAAACTACAGGATTCTGAGAATAATTGACCATGAGGGACTTGTAAACATTATACGGACTTCAAAATCATAACAAAATTCTACCAGAAGACTAATGCATTTATCAAAACAATACTATACAAAATATTTTTATAAAATATTAACTCAACTTAAAAGGAAATTCTGAAATGTTTTAGAAGTAAGGCACCAGTTCCTGCAAGACTTATAGTCAACAATTGTCATTTTGTCATAAGTGCTTCCTACCTATGCTGACTATTATTTTGAGAAGTTGGAATGTATGATATTAAAATTATACCTCTAGTTAAGAAAGAAAAAATAAATGGAAAGAAACAAACTCCAAAGTTGACATTTCCCTTTCACTTGACCTTAATGCACTGAGCAAATTTTAATAGTCTCTTCCTGGTTTTGCTCACCAAAGTCATTGATTGGAGCCTTCAGTTGTTTTGTTTGGTTTTGGTTTGTGAACATTTGATCATCTAGCTAAGCGACAGACAGATCTTGAAGTGGAAAGCATTGTTGCTGTTAACATTAACTTTTACTGTAGAAAAATAATTCTTTCAAAATGATTGACTTCCTTCTGTTTAAACCCAAAGCAAATCCAGCCATAATGCTTGGAGCAAAAAAAAAAAAAATCCCTTCTGGATTTTATAGAAACATTGTTATTTTTGTACAAGATTTCCTTATATAAATATGTAGTCAAAAGCTGATTCTGTGCACTTTGTGAAAATAATATACACATTTGCAACTAATGCTATTCAAAAGTGTCACTCCCTCGTAGGAAGATGTGTGACTCATCTGATCAGCTTTAATAGTCATGGCAATTAAAAAATGAGTCAACTTTTGTTCAGTTATTTCCCAGGATTAATGTCACATCATTCTTTTGTTTTGTGTTATTTATTCAGCCTTGTTTTTAATGCTGGTACATTCACAGTTCAATAAAAGGCACATGGGAATAGGTTTTTCTGATTGTTTAAAGGCCATGGATATTGCTAAGGAATCTTCCAGGGATTTTTGTGGTTACTTGGGTATGCGGGCAGGAATGCAGACATTTTGGGTATTTTATGATGCCATTATTTAAACATTTGATGGTATTTTCTAGACTAATATATATTAAAGACAGTATAACAAAAAGAAAGATATGTTTATCTTACTCAGAAAAACACCTATTTCCTATTGGAAGAATTTCTATATGCTATAAATCAGAGAAATGTACAGCTCTGAAGGCAAACATCAATTAAGTCAACAATGAAACCTGAAGTTAAACCACAGCTGTAAAGATAGAGCTAATCTTTACCTTTTAAGTGAGCATTGGGATTTGTCATTTAGATAGGGTACTATGCTAAACATTTTAAAATAATTTTCACAGTGTTGACTTTTAAAGCATAATGATTGATAATATCATATTGTACTTGTCAGTGAGTAGGCTATGATGACTTTAAGATCAGCTAACAACTATGTGTTAATAATGAGTCTAAGCCTTGATTATTTGTTTTGCAAAAACAAATGTAATGTCACTTACAAAAAAAAATAAACAATAACAACAACAAAAACCAAAGCAACAGTATCTTATTTGAGGGAAATAATTTCCATCTTATTAATGATGACATCATAAAATGATAACATTGGAATCGTTAGCAGCAGAAGTAGCTTTTGTATATAATATACATGAAACTTCCCTTCCTGACTTCCTGGTACAATTCCTAAGAGAAAAAGAATACTGTCATTATATTAATAGCTCATATGCAAATAGTGGAAATTATGGCTAGTAGTGATTTCATAGGAAACAAAATTGTGCGTAGTTCAACTGTGATGAATTAATAAAGTATTGTTGGTCATGCTTTATTACAGGCATGTATGAAACTGTAGCACGTTTTCGAATCTACACAGAGAATGTCTTTTCTAG